TTTTAGAGTATATAAATGTGTTCTAAGTGCATATAAATACTTATAAATGTGTGTACAAGCATGAATTAATGTGTTTAGGTGTGTATGAATGTGTTCTAGCGTATATAAGTGTTTTAAGTGTGTGTATATAAGTATATAAATATATATAAATTTATATAGTTGATTATAAATGTGCCATAATGTTTAAAAATGTTTTTAAGGGCTTTTATCTATTTTCGTTAACGAGAAAATGAAAATGGATATCAGGAAACTATGTTGATCTATTTTTAAAATCATGGAACTAGGTTTTTAGTATATAAAAAATTTACAGAAGATAAATATATATATATATATATATATATATATATAAAGTTACACGTAACGTCTAAGGGTTAAAGTTCATTAAGATATTCTTTTCGTTATCTTAATTATAATAAAAACATCTGTACATTATATATAATGTTACAAAAGATAGAGTATTATTTTTCAAAAAAAATTCCTAACGTTTCGAAAATGTTTATACACATTCAGGTAATATAATATGTACATATAGTGTTATAGGTTTTTTTAAAAACAAATTGTAACCCAAACTTTTTAAAAAGGAATTAAATTTCAAATAAAAACATCAAAAACTTGTGTCAATTTTTAAACAATTCGACGTTTCGAAATTTATTTTGAACATAGAGATTTTGATTCATATTAAAATTAAAAACTTAATATTAGAAATTTTTGTAGATTATTTAATTTCGAACAAATTTCCTGAATACATCATTCATATTAATCAAATGGTTTAAAAGTTACAAGAAATATAATAATAAATAAATGACCACAAATTAGTCTGAAGTCGACACTGAGAGTTTCAAATGAGATTTTGAAGTATACCGAGTTGCTCCAGAAACTTTTGTTGTTAGAAACACTCATAGATTATTTAATTACCAACAATTTTCTCTCAAACCCCATTCATATTAATCGAGTGGTTGAAAAGTTACAAGAAATATAATAATAAATAAATGACCACAAATTAAACAGAAGTCGACACTGAGAGTTTCAAATGAGATTTTGAAGTATACCGAGTTTCTCTAGGGGCTTTATTGTTACAAACACTCACAGATTTTCTCTCGAATCCCATTCATATTAATCTAATGGTTTAAGTTACAAGAGATGTAACAAATAAATGTACATGTAAATTTATAATCAAGTCTCAACAGTTTTATCTCATACTAATTATCTTGTTTCGAGTACAATTTTAGAGTATACCGAGTTGCTATAAGGAGCGATTATAATATTTCTTTATTTAATTTTAAACAAATTTCTCTCGAACATCATTCATATTAAATTCAAGATCTGTGAATAATATTAGAAATAAATGCACTAATTTAATTTTGTAGTTTCAAACACATTTTTAAAGTATACCGGGTTGCTATAGGGTTTCATAATGTTGAAGTGAATTATAAAATATGTAATTTTACACAAATTTTTCTAACACATCATCTATATCAAACGAGTGGTATAAAAGTTACAAAAGGTATAAATAAATGAATGCATGAAAACATTTGTTTAAACAAATTATGAAATGACAACACACGATGTATGGATGAATAAAAAATAATAAAAATTTAAAATAATTACCTAAATTTTTCAAACAAATCCTCTTCCTATATTAATTAATAAATAATTTATTAAACACTCAACTAAAAAATTAAAATTGTATAAAACACAATTTTTGTATAAAACACACTACACTTAAATGTCCAGCGTCCAGTAGTATATATATGGTACTTGAATATTTTTTCTAATTAAATTGTTGCTAATTAATTAATCAGTGTAATTAAATTTATTTAAATAAATTAATAAAACTGAAGCTATACTTGAAGAGGCAAAAATTTCAGACTGACGCGCCGACTTGTATGGAACACATGTGGTAGCGAAATACAAATACACATGTACATAGATACATATATACATACAGAAAGTACGTATGTATGTACATGCACACAAACAGGATGTATGTATGCATGTACATATACACGTTATGTATATGTGCATATGTATGTATATGCACTTATCTATAAGGCCGGCGGTTAGTGTCGTCTTGCTCAGGGCTGGAGTGCGTAAAAGCACGTTTAAAAGCGTTTTTAAAATACTAAAAGGGCTTTTAACGTGTTTATGTATTCGGAAAAGTTCTAGATAAATTAGTTTTCAACAATGTTGTCGAAGGAAGTATGCGAATATTCTTAATATTTTCTGAGATATTTCGATAAATATGAAAAAAGTTCACTTACTATTATTTTGTAAAATCTAAATTTAAAAAGTATTTTAAATGCTAAAAGGAGTTTTAGCTTTGTTTTGCCATGTTATGATATTGGGAAAATATAATAATAAAAATAGAAATAGAAATATAAAAACAATTATTTCAAAAAAAAGTCAATTTTTGCATTGAATGTGTATATGTGTATGAATGTCTGAAAATGTGCAGTAAAAGTGTGTATAAATGTGCAGTAAAAGTGTGTATAAATGTGCAGAAGTGTGTAAAAGTGTGTAAAAGTGCGTTAAAGTGTTTGTAAGTGTGTATATATTCGTTATGGTGTGTTTAAGTGTGTATAAATGTGTATTGCAAATGTGTTATGTGTCTATAATAGTGTTTTAGTATATATATATAAATGCGTGTAAGTGTGTATAAACGTATAAAAAAGCCTGCGAGTGTTCATAAATGTGTCAAAATGTTTAAAGGGTTAAGTGTTAATTTCAAGGGCTTTTTATCTATCTTCGTTAACAAAAATATGTATATAAATGTGTATGAAAAAAAAAGATTTTTGATAAATTATTTTTCAATGAAGGGGGCTATTTTTGACTTGAATTTTCAAAAAAAGCCCATTAAGCAAGTGAGACTTTTAAGAGGAGGGGGGGTGATATTTGATAAAGAAATAACAAAAAATCACGTGGGGAGGAAGGAGTCTAGTAGATATCATGTGTATTTATTTTTGACCTGAATTTTCAAAATAAAAATCAAAAGCTTTACGATTTTTTCGTAAATTCGGAAAATTCGTTCGAATATTGAGAAAGGTTCTCGATAAATTATTTTTCTATGAAGGGGCGCCCATTAATCGAGTGTGGCTTTTAAGGAAAGGAGAGGCTTTGATAGAAAAATCACGAAAAATCACCTGGGGGAAGAAGGAGTCAAGTACATATCACGTGTATTTATTTTTGACCTTAATTTTCAAAACAAAATCAAAAACTTTACGATTTTAGTATAAAAGCGCTTTTAAAAGACTAAAAGGGTTTTTTTGTGAAGTTTTTGTGAAGTACACCCCTGCTTGATATATATATATATATATATATATATATATATATATATACATTTATATGGTTTCATAAGTTTTATCAATGCTTATCACAGCAAAAATGTCGAAGTATTCCAATGAGTTATATTTTTATAAAAAATATGCATTCTGTTGCATTTAGTTGCATTTTTATCTCACCTCTACATACACACATACATATATACATACATACATATATACGTAAATATATACATACATACATATATACATATACATATATACATACACATGTTTCTAGATAACACAACAATGCATTCTTTTAATTTTGCATTATGTAATAATTATTATAATAAATTCAAATGAACAAGAATAACTGAGTTAGCAATTATTTTGTAACAATTGTTTTTATATACAAGCAGTAGAACCCTGTTAAGACGATCATGCTTAATACGATTTTTTGCTTAATACGTCACTTTAAATGGGTTCCTATACATTGGAACTTATTGTGTATATCTCGCAAAATAAGCTTACCCGCATAAGACGCGTTTTTAGTTATTACGATCATGCTTAATACGATTTCTTGCATAATACGCTACTTTAAGACAGTTCCTGCACTTTGAAACTTATTGTGCATATCTCGCAAAATGACCTTACCCGCATAAGACGCGTTTTTAGTTAAGACGATCATGCTTAATACAATTTCTTGCATAAAACGCCACTTTAAGACGGTTCCTGCACTTTTAAACATATTGTGTATATATCGCAGAATGAGCTTACCAGCATAGGACGCGTTTTTAGTTCGCTTCCTTGAAAATCGTCTTAACGGGGTTTTGAACTGTATATGTGTGTAACAATTGTTAATAATTAGCTAAAAGTATCTTTAGCCTCTTTCAGTCTAGCGATGTTCTGTAATTAAAATGCTGATTAATTATTATTAATTGTTATAATTATCTTCTTAATTTAAATTTGTAAAAATCTATTTAATCCATGGATTTACAACAATGTATCTAAAATGTGATTATAAGTCTAAATGATAAGATAAAATTTAATTTTTTTATGTTTTTGATAAAAATTGCCTGAAGCAATTAAAACCAATTTATAAAGATAATGGATAAATGAATCAAATTATCTATTATCATGAATGAATCATTCAAATCGGTTGATCCGTGCTTTCGAAATCGTAGACGAAAAATTGTATGCGAACACTCATACATGCATACATACATACGCACACACACATACATCCTTTTTTCCTTTTTTTTTCACAAAAAATTGCTTTTTTTCAAGATATGAAAAATTTTCATTTTTGATTTGACTATAAAAAGTTAACAAGTAAAAATAGTACAAGTTTAAAAGCTATTTAAAACAGTAAAAGAAACTTTAGATTATTTTTATAATTAGGACAATTGTAGATAATTTCATTAGATACAGGTTATCTAAATGAAGATTTTAGATAATTTTAATATTTTTCAAAGTTGTAAAAGAAAATATGATTAGAAGTCTAACTCTTGATGATAAGTATTTGTGTAAATTTTAAAGGTCTGGTCAATTTTAAATTATTTAAAAATTCATAGGTCCCAACTATGGGTGTCGTGGACCCTTGGACTTAGCCATGGACCCCTGAATTGATTTTTTTTATAAATTTTTAGAAATATGAAGATTTTGTTACTTGAAAATTATGATGAGTATTTAGAGTAAATTTTAAAGTTTTGGTCTAATTTAAATTATCTATATACATTGGTTTTCAAACTATTTTGTGTTGTGGACCCTTGGAATTGGTCATGGACCCCTGAATTGATTTTTTTTATATATCTTTAGAAATGTGAAGATTTTTTTACTTGAAATTTTAGGGTAATTTTTTAATGTTTGAGTATTTAGAGTATTTTTTTTAAGTTTTGCTCAAATCCAAATTATCATATAAAGGTTCCCAAACTATTTTGTGTCGTGGACCCTGAATTGATTTTTTTTTTTATAAAACTATAGAAATACACAAGATTTTTTTACTTCCTAGATCCATTTATAAATATTGTATATGAATCTATTTTGTTACCCCATTTCCGTTTGTGGGCCCCAAATTGTCATTGACCCCTTTGGGTCCATGTGGACCACTTTGGGAATCACTGATATACAACAAAATTGTATGAAAGTATTTGTATTAACCTAAAAATCCTTTGCAGATTTCATTTGCAAATATATACTTATTACATTTGTTAGTTTTTTGTACCTGGGACAGGGGACCACGGAGGAGACCCTGCAGGGACCTCTGAGGGCCCAGTTTGGGCTTCATTGATCTGAAACGTAATTGTCTGAAAGTACTTTTATTAACCTAAAGATCCTTTGTCGGTTTAATTTGCAAATAATTATCAGAATTTTTGAATTCTGATTACAATGTAATTTAATTATTACATTTTGTAGAACCCTAAGGCCACATCAACCCCTATGGGTCCATGTGGACCACTTTGAGAATCACTGATCTACAAACTTAATTGTCTGAAAGTACTTGTATTAACCTTAAAATCCTTTGCCTAAATCATTTGTAAATAAATACTTATTTATTACACTTTGTAGACCCTGGAACCACACCCAGACAGCACAAGACATGCCAGGGAATGTCCCACTTGTCCTCACAATCTCCTAATATCGCGATATCCTATGAATATCCTATGAATATGCAACGGGACGTCTCAAACCCAAAGGACTCGAGCAGGTATAACAAACGGTTCACGAACATGTCGCACTCATACGCGCACGGCTTGAGACCTCTAAACGCATATGTTTGTCCCTTTCTCTTTCGTCGCGTCGGCTGTAGGCTGTAGGCACGGAGCGTCCTTTAAGGTTTCAGCATTATCAATAGACGCTATATGTCATAGTTTTTGAGTAATTGAGTAATAATAGTGAAAATTTTATTTGTTTTATATATTTATATGAGCGTGTGTTATAAATAATTAATATTATTTATCAAAATACTCTAAAATTGAGTAATAATAGTGGAAATTTTATGTGTTCTATATAATTATATGTGCGTGTGTGTTACAAATACTGCAGCCGTGTTTGAAAGAGGATTGACAAAAAAGAGCATTGAAAGAGTTGGTTTTGAGGTTTGACTCGAACCATACTCAAAAGTTAAATTAAATATTTTTTGAAATGCTTTCTATTATGTTTGTTGGAGGAGCTTCAACTTGTGGATCAAAACACAATTGGTAATCAAAAGTTATATAGATTTATTTTTATTTGTTAACTTTATCATATACTAAACAAACTTTCTCTTTAGATTCTGTATTTAGCCATCAGAGTCCAGCTATGAAAATCCATTTTTGATGATGGTTTGGCCAAAAGAATTTTGCTAGGGACGAGGAAAGGGCAAAAATAAATTTTGTGATCTAGTGCCTTGCGATGTCATCACAGGTAATTTATATATCTTATACTTATGATGTGTTGTAAATTATGAATAAAACTAATATATAATTAATTCCAGGAATTGCTTTGAAAAATTTGCCGCATGAGACATAGTTTGCTGTTTTAGAGGCTGCAAAAAGCTGGCTGCGACGTGCCAATAAATATTATACAAGGTATTTTTGTGAGATGTGTACTATATGTTTTTCCTATTTACAAAAAAATCATGATTATTGACTGGTTAGTTGTATCAATGTTAGTGCAAAATTTGTGCTGTGTACACATTTTTAGAAGTAAAAAAACAAGTTTAATATTCACTCGTAATGACATCAAATTGTGTCAATATATTTGGAATTAGAGATTATTTTATAAATCTCTGTCTATTTTGATTGATGTATCGCTCTTAAAGAACTTACTCATATATATATATACATATATATGCATTTATTCATTTGTTTTCTATTTCAGGAGAGAAAATCAACCATAAACTAGGATTGAATGCCGAATTAATTATATTTTTAATATTGTAAAATAAGTTATTTTGAATTAAAGTTGTATATATTAAATTTTGTTATAAAATTATCTCAGGATTTTGTTAATTATTTAAGATAATAAAAGTTTACTTTGTGAAATTGTGTTCTTTTATTTTATTTTTAATCCAAATTTATTTTTCATCTAAAAAGTAAAAAACAATTCCATAATTATATCCTATTCATGTCCGGAATATCCCGCGCGGGATATCCTACAGAACGTCCCATAGGTGCGACATATTAACATGTTTCGGATAAGATCAGGATAAGCGGGATATCCGTAAGGCTATCGCAGGGACAATGAATGTCCGCGCGTGGATATCCTGTGGACGTTTTCCAGGATGTCTTGTGTTGTCTGGGACAGAAACCCCTAAGGGCCCATGTGGTCCACTTTGGGAACCACTGATATACAACGAAATTGTCTGAAAGTACTAATATTAACCTAAAAATCCTTTGCAGAATTCATTTGCAAATAAATACTTAAAACATTTTGTAGATTTAGTTTAGTTTAGTAGTTTTTGTAGGAACCCCTAAGGGTCCATGTGGACCACTTTGAGAACCACTGATCTACAACGTAATTGTCTGAAAGTACTTTTATTAACCTAAAAATCCTTTGGCAATTTCGACAGCAAATAAATACCTCTTATAGGATTTTGCGAAAACATTTGACAAAACTAGTTGACAAATATTTATACAACTAAATTCAAAAATTACTTTGTCTCCTACCTTAAGGTTATAGAGTGTCTTCAAGAAACTAAGCCATATCTATTTCCATTACTTCGGGCACTAATTTTAAAAATCACAATCAACTCAAAGATAAACTTGTACACCATTTTTTATCATAGATTGTTAGCTTTAATTGTATAATTATCAGAAATAATCTATCAAGTGTGGAGGCACGTTTTGCCATTAAAAGTTGTAACAGATTTTTTCCTTGATAACGTGAACAATGCCGCGTTTTTAAATGATCTGTTCTGTCAGTCCATTGTAATAAAATTTGGAATTATGATAAAAAAACTTATGTAAACTTGTAAAAAAAATACGTTTTTCTTAAATTATGCTAGCATAGTATTGTACTTGTACGGTTAAATTAATATATTTAAATTTATTTAATTTTTTTGTAAATCAAATTAACAGGTCTGTTCCGTCATTCCCTTACAAGGTCTTTGCATTTAGGGAAAATTAGAAACGTGTAAAAGTACTTAAATGTGTAAAAAATACGTATTTATTAATTTATTACGCAAATAATTGTATTTATTTTGGTTAAATTAGAATATTTTTATTTATTTAATTATTTTTTAAATAAAATAATTTTTTTTCGTGTGCTGGTGGTTGGTTGGTGCTAACTGGCTGTCACTTTTACTTCGGGTTGGTTCGCATAAATAAATAAAAGATGGAGGACATAAAAATATTATTTTTTACACATATTTGGCGATTAAAAACATAATTTACGTTTAAAATACTAAAAAAATGTTTGTCTAAGCATTTTACATCTATTTTCAAACATTTACATAGTTTACATTTGTGCTAAAATGGCATTTTATGGACTTTATGAACTTGGTTGATGAAGATGTTGTGTTTCAAAATGGCGAGTATGATATAAAAATACAATTTGACTCTATTATATTTGCATACAAATTGACATGTTTTTGCATATTTTATAGATGAATTTACATATATAGTGGGTGTAATTATTTATATTAATCTGTACTTGTGTTTGTAGTGGATTGTAGATTTATGGTGAGCCTGGATTTAATTTTATATTGATGGATGGTAAAAATGTTTTGAGAAAAATTGTTTAGAATTCAAGATGATTGATAGTTTACTGGTAAAAAATATAAAAGTTTGCATCTTATATTAGTTCTTATCTATAAAATAGCGTTGTCATTAAAAGAGAGATTTGTGCTAAAATTAAGTAATAAAATAAATCTAAATCATTTAACAGTCTAAAATTTTGTAAATATACATGAGAAACATTATTATTAATAATAAAATTCCCTAAAAAATTTCTTTATTTTGAAGGCTTATGAGGAATCAATTCAAGATGAAAGCTTTGAAGCATAAAATCTCTATGTGGATACCCAAAGTATAATTCAAACAAAAGTATATTTTTTACAGCATGCAACGTAGATATCAGTTTTCTTGTGAAGACTTATGATAAATCAATTCAAGATGAAACTTTAAAGCACAAAGTCTCTATATGGATACCCAAAGTATAATTTAACATAAATAAAAATATATTCTTTACACCATGCAACATATATATCAATTTTGAACAAAATAATCTTTTGAAGACATGATAAATTAGTTCACGATGAAAGCTTTAATACTCAAAATCTCTATATGGATACCCAAAGTATAATTTAATTGGAAACAAAAATATATTCTTTACATCATGCAACATATATGTCAGTTTTGAATCAAATTTTCTTTCAAGACTTATGATAAATCTATTCGAGGTGAAAGCTTTAAAGCACAAAATCTCTATATGGGTACTCAAAATATAATTTAATTCAAACAAGAATATATTCTTTACACCATGCAACATATATACTCGTATATCAATTTTGAACAAAATAATCTTATGAAGACATGATAAATTAGTTTACGGTGAAAGCTTTAAAGCACTAAATCTTTACATGGATATTCCAAGTATAATTTAATTTAAACAAAAATGTATTCTTTACATCATGCAACATATATATATATCAATTTTAGATAAAATTTTTGCTTTGAAGACTCATGGTAAATCAATTCACAATGAAAGCTTTAAAGCCCAAAATCTCTATATGGATACTCGAATTAAAATTTAATTTAAACAAAATTATAGTCTTTACACCATGTAACATATATATCAGTTTTGGATCAAATTTTTTTTTGAAAACTTTATGATAAATCATGATGAAAGCACTTAAAAGTTTCTATATGAACATTCAAAATATAATTTAATTTAAACTAAAATATATTCTTTACAGCATGCAATATATATATATCAATTTTGGATCAAATTTTCTTTTAAAGGCGTATGATAAATCGAGAGCTTTAAAGCACAAAATCTCTATATGGATACCCAAAGTATAATATAATTTAAACAAAACTATTTACATAATTTATGATATATTTTAAACTAATGTTTATATTTTTTGTTTCAGATTAGTTGTTCTACGAGAAAATCGAGCTTGAAGAAAAAGTAAGCTTTAAAATATATAAATAGGTATGAAAATTTAATTTATTTATAAATAATTGTAAGTATGCTCAGAAATATTAATTAAAATGTTTTAATTAATTAAAAATTTAAATGTTTTAAATTGAAGCATAAAATGCTATTCAAAATCAAAATTATTATATCATTAACATAAGCTCAAATTATTTATTTATTTATTTATTTAAATAAATAAAAACTATATCAGTATTAGTTATAAACTAAAATAGTTGTTGATTTAACATTGTAGAGTTTTATATAAAAGTACATTTGTTTACTATTGAAAGATGTTTTATTAATATTAATTTTATATTTTAATTAATTATTTCAGACAATAATTATTCTAGATAATTTAGTTAGCTATAAATTATCTATTTGCAGTTTTTATTTATATTTCATTTTTAAGAAAAATAGAAATATAAAAAAAATCTTCCTTAGCTTGATTAGTTTTAAGTATGATAAAACATTTTATAATTGTAGATAATTTATCTGTCTGATAAATATCTTTTACCTAATTTATTTATCTTAGAAAATATGAAAAGAAAAGTGTCAAAAATATTCCAGGTTTAAAGGCTTTTTTAAGACTTGAAAACTTATTCTAGTGTATAATAGTACTTGGGACTGTTGTAGATAATTTTGTTAGCTATGGGTTATCTTGATGCTGATTTTAGATAATTTTTATATTTTAAGAGGTATAAGAGAAAATATGGAAAAATGTCCTCTCGTAAGCTTTGAAAGAAACTGACTAGAATAATGAAGATTGATATGAAGATGAAAATATAATTTTAAGTATGAACTCAATCAGATAAATTCATAGATGATTTATCTAGCTAAAAATTATCTATAAGCAGTTTTCAAATAATTTTTATTTTAAAGATATGAAAAAAAATGAACTCAGATTTGAAAATGAACTTCATAAAGTATTTGAAGATGAAAGTATTAATTTAAGATCAAACTTATAGATAATTTAGCTAGCTGTAAGTTATCTTCATGCAGTTTTTAGATAATTTTTATATTTTAAGAGGTAAAGATGAAAATATGGAAAAATGTCTTCGTAAGCTTTGAAAGAAACTGACTTGCATAATAGAGACAAAATTATAGCTTCAAGTGATAATTATTATTTATAGATAACTTAGCTAGTTACAAATTATCTATAAGCAGTTTTTAGTTAATTTTTATTTAAAAAATGAACTGAGATTTGTAAATGTATAGCAAACTTTATAAAGCATTGGAAGACGAAATGCAATTATTAATTAAAGTACTTATTATTTTAAAACAAATTTATAAATAATTTAGCTAGCTACAGATCATGTGTATGCAGTTTTTAGATAATGTTAATATTTTAAAAGTTATAAAAGAAAATATGGAAAAATCATCATATTTATTTATATATTTAAAGATTTGGAGATGAAAATATAATTTTAATTATGAACTCAATTAGATAAATATATAGATATTTAGCTGGCTAAAAATTATCTATATATAATTTTTAGATAAATTCAATATTTTAAGTGATAAAAAATATGGAATAAGTCCTCATATTCTTTCAAATAAACTGTCTTACATAATGAAGATTAATTTCGAGACAAAAATATAAGTTTAAGATCTGATTATTAATCATAGATAATTAAGCTAGCTAGAAGTTATCTATATTCAGTTTTTAGATAATTTGACTCTTCAAAAGTAAAAAAGAAAGTATTAAAATGTCACATATTCTTTTTTAAAAAAAATGGCTTACATAATGATTAAGATAATGAGATTTAAAGATGAAAGTATAATTTTAAGTGCTAACTATATTAGATAATTTAATTAGCTAAAAATTATCTATAAACTTTTTAGATAAATTTAATTTTTTATGAATTATAAAAGATAATATGAAAAATATTCTCTTAAGCTTTCAAAAACTGATTTGTCTGGGGAATTGGAAGACGAAGATGTATTTTTTAGGTACTAATTATATTAGATAAATTTATAGATAAGTTAGTTAACAACAAATCATCTATATGAAGTTTTAAATAATTTTAATATTTTAAAAATTATAAAAGAAAATATGAAAACAAATTTTATGAAATTGACACGAGAATTTGAGGAAAAATTTAAAGATGATTTAAATTTAAAGCTTAAGAAGAATATATAATATTGCAGATAATTTCATTGCCTACAAATTATCTAAATGAATTATTTTGATTTCTTCATTATATAAAATTATTTCTAAACTATAGTTTAGATATTATTAACGAAGTATAAAACTGTAGCAAATTATATACTTGCGAATTATAAAGATGTGTTTATAAACAAAATTTTAAAAGCCTAAAAGCATGTTTACAATATTTTGTTGTAAGGAAAGATAATAGATAATTTATCTATCTTTAAATCTTTCTAACATAAAATTAAATATTTTTATTAGTTTTTTATTTATGAAACAAAATATATAAAACATTCGCGTTGAACTAGAAAATATCTTGAGCATATAAAGACTTTTTCGGAGCATTAAAAGAGCATTTAAAAAGATAATAATATTTAAAGAAAATGTATACAATTTAATTAAGTCTTTTAAAGATCAAATTTTAATTTATCAGATAGTTTTTTTTATGCAGAACTTAAAGAATAAATAATGACTATGTCTGATTAAAGGCTTTTTTGATGCATTAAAGCCTTTAAAAATCTTTACGAGTCGAGTTAAGTACGAGTTTTTACAAGATAATCATATATAGAGAATGCATAGATAATTTAATTATCTTTAAGTTTAAGACCAAATTCAAATTTATAAATAAGTTTTATATTTATAATGCAAAATATAAAAAAATATCCATGCTTGATTGGGAAATCAAGCTTGTAACATATTCGAAGGCTTTTTTGAAGCATTAAGATAGTATTTACATACAAGATAATAATATTTAAAAAAATATAGATAATTTAGTTATCTTTAAGTCTTTCAATGACTAAATTTTAATTTATAAATAAGTTTTTTATTTATAATGAAAAGTATAAAAAAAAATGTCTGTGCGGTATTAGAATTATATTGAAGCATATTAAAGGCTTTTTTAAAGAACCAAGAGAGTGTTTATGAGATAATCATATATAAAGATAATTTAATTATCTTTTAGTCTTTTATAGTCCAAATTTTAATTTATAAACAAGTTTTTAACTTGTAATGAGAAATATAAAGAAAAATATCTATGCCTAATTAAAAACTATCTTAAAGCATATTAAAGGCTTTTTCAAAGCAGTAACAGAGTCTTTATAAGATAATCATATCTATAGAAAGTATAGAAGATAATTTAATTACCTTTAAGTCTTTTATAGAACAAATTCAAATTTATAAACAAGTTTTTAACTTGTAACAAGAAATATAAAAAAAAATCTATGCTAAATTAAAAACTATCTTGAAGCTATTTAAAGGCTTTTTTAAAAAACCAAGAGAGTCTTAAAGAACCAAGACCATAATATTAGAAGAATACGTAGACAATTTAATTGTTTTGAAGTCTTCAATAGACCAAAATCAAGTTTTCCAATTAGTTTTTAAAAAAAATGTTCCATACAACATAATTTAATATATACCAAATATTATTCGAAATTTTTTATTATAAACAATTTATTTGTTCTAAAAATACATAATTCATTTTGACAAATAAAATTTACTTTGACAAATAAATTTTATTTTGACAATAAATAAAAATTTTAAGCACTCACCTTATTTTTTCGAGCCTTAAAATTCCCCACGTCGTCTCTGACACAACTTGACACTGTATAATTAAATAATAATAATTAATTAATAAAAATCATTAAAAATTAATAAAAAATCTTTACAAAACAAAAATACAAAAATTTTTACTTCAAATACAATTTACAAAAATCATATATAAACAATTTTAGTAACAATTAAATTGTTATTTTGAAATGTTAAATTGTGATTTTTGGAATGTTGATTTTTATTAAATCTTACTTTTTTTAGGTTTTGTGCCAAATTTTTTGGACTTTTTTGCTTAAGAGGAACAATTGAATGTTTTGGGATCAATTTGGAGTCTTTGTGCAAGAAAATAAGTACACTGAGGGTCTTGTAATCAAAAAAATAGATAGATGGAAATTAGAAATATGATATAATATTAAAAAATTTCAGGATTTGTACAGGTATTTTATATTTTTTTATTAATTAAACTACAGTAAAATATTTTGATATATTTTTACATAATTATTTAAATTATAATTATTTATATTTAAATTTATAATATTTTTTTTACTTTTTTTTATTTATTTATTTACATATATACATTATTTTCATATCTCAGACAGAGGTGCCTAGTATAAGAGATTATGAAAAACAGTTTTCATATAATACATTTAATCACAATACTTTTTTAATAATTAAACTACAGTAAAATATTTTAATATTTTGAAATATTTTTACATAATATTTATAATAACTTTAAATAAATTAATAATATTTATTAAAATCCATAAATATTTTTTGCAAACTGGGATATTTCTTTATATTTTCTTTAGTAAATCGTAAAATATTGAAAGCACCTAGAATTTGTGTTTAGATAATTTTTAGATAACTAAATTATCTACATATGTATCAAATATTGTAAATTTATAACGCAATTTGTATGTATTTAAAATTGTTTCAAAAATTTTCTTCGAACATACAAGACTTAAGTTGTTTGTTTTGCTTTATTAAAAAGAAATTATCTAAGTTAGATAAAAATTGTTTTGGTTAATATTTAGATAATAAAATTACCTATAATTTCATCTACCTTTAATTCAATGTTCCAATTTAATTGTTTCAAAAATGTTATGTAAGTAATTGTATCAAAATTTTCTTCGAACATACAAGATGTGAGTTGTTTGTTTTGCTTCATTATAAAGAAATTATCTAAGTTAGATAATAATTGATTTTGGTAAATATTTAGATAATAAATTTACCTATAATTTCATCCGACTTTAATTTAGTGTTCCAATTTAATTGTTTCAAAAATTTTATGTAATTGTATCTAAATTTTCTTCGAACATACAAAAAATTAGTTGTTTGTTTTGCTTCATTTTAAAGAAGTTATCTAAGTTAGATAAAAATTGTTCTGGTTAATATTTAGATAATATAACTACCTATAATTCCTTCCAATTCCAATTTAATATTTGTCTCGTCTCAATTTAGTGCCAAGACATTTTTTAATATTTTAAATTATCTACAACATACATTCAGATACTTTTTAGATAAATTAATTATCTATAACTTTTACTAATTTACTTGTAATTTAATACTTTGAAAGTTTTTATTAATAACACGTTTTTTATAATATTTTATTTTATACATAGGTTATCTAGATTCTAAATAAACACATAGATGCATAACATTTTTATCTAAAAGATACTTTATGTATTTATTATAATTTTATTGCCAACTTTATTTCAATTTAATTTTGATTTTAGGCGGAAAATTTAAATTTTAATAAGTATTACATTTTAAATATATTATTAAATATTTAAATTTATTTATATAAATATATAATTTGATAATTTTGGATGTTTTTTCAAAATTTGTTTAATAAAATAAAAATTAATCATAGTATTGAATTAATTTATCCTAAACTCAAAGTTATAGATAACTAAATATATTATCTTTATTTTATTAATTTATAATAATAATTAATAATAAAAATATATGAAATTAATCTTATTTTTTAAAATAGTTAGTCGACTGACTATTTAAAGATCTTTAAATGATTTCTAAGTTACTTTTTTATATTATAGAACAAAGATCTTAAATTATTATTAAACTAATAAAGTTAAAGATAAGTAATGATAAATAAAATAATAATAATATAATAAAAATATATGTAATTTATCTTATTTTTTAAAATAGTTAGTCGACTGACTATTTACAGATCTTTAAATGATTTCTGAGTCACTTTTTTATATTTCAGAATAAAGATCTTAAATTATTATTAAATTAGTAAAGTTAAAGATAAGTAATAATAAATAAAATAATAATGTGATAATAAAAATATATAAAATTAATCTTATTTTTTAAAATAATTAGTCAACTGATTATTTAAAGATCTTTAATTGATTTCTGAGTAACTTTTTTATATTTTGGAACAAAGATCTTAAATTATTATTAAACTAATGAAGTTAAAGATAAGTAATAATAAATAACATAATAATATAATAAAAATATATGAAATTAATTTTATTTTTTAAAATAGTCAGTCAACTGATTATTTGAAGTTCATTAAATGATTTCTGAGTCACTTTTTTATATTTTGGAACAAAGATTTTAAATTAATCAAGATATTATTAACTAGATTCAAAGATAATTAAGTTATCTACAATTTATACTAATATTACAATTAACAATAATAATATATTGTAAAATTCGTTTTACGATTTTAGAATTAAATTTATAACTTGAAGTTAAAAAAAAATGTGGAGTTCAAAATATTTTTTTACTGCTAGCTTTATGTATTATTATGTAAAACTAATTAGTAAATCTAAATTTAATATTTGACAAAGTTAAAGATAATAAAATTATCTGCAATTTATTCTTATATTATAAATAAATAAATAAATAATTATTTTGTAAAACTGCTTTTAGTATTTAAAAATTACATTTATAACTAAATTTTTGAATTTCCACTTAAAGAAAATTAAAGGACATTTTTTATATTTTGTTTTATAAATTTAAAACTAATTAATAAATCTAAATTTAATATTTAATTAAATTAATGATGATTAATTTATCTACAATTTAATATTATTAAAAATTATTTTAATTATAGTATTATTAAAAATTATATTATATTAATAGTATATTTTACCTCCTGTTGCTCCTTCGCTTGAAATTCATAAGGACCCATGAAATCGAATGGCACCATCACCAACCCCTGGGGTCTCTGGGGTGAAATTTTGTTTTCTTCATAGACATAAATCATCCCCCGTTTTATAAAAATGTGACCAGCTTGATCTGTAAATATCTTGTACCATATTTGAAGGCTTTTTTAAAGCACTAACAGAGAATTTACAAGATAATCATGGTTAGAGAGAAAATATAGATAATTTAATTATCTGTAAGTATTTCAAACGCCAAATTTAAATAAGTTTTCTATTTAAGCTCTACCAAAATATAATTTCCACAGGTTGTGGGTCAACAGGACCCATTAATAATTATAATTCGAATAAGGAGAGATGTGAGGTCCTTGGGTCATGAGTTCGAATCCCTGGTATCATTATATTTGATAATAAGGTTTTAAGGAAAATCCATGGATATATATCCATGACTTTTTGACATGAAAGATTGAAGGAATAAATGTGTATGTTTTTGACTTTTTGAAGGGAAAAATGTTTTTTTTAACACATTTGATTTGAGTAAAAAAGCATGGATATATATCGATGACTATTTGACACAAAATATTGATGGAAAAATGTGCATGTGTATGTCTATTATTATCTTGAATAACATCTGTGATTATTAATTAAGCTTGTTATAGTTGAACACAAAACTGATTATCTATAAAATAAAAAGCTTATTTATAAATGATATTCATTTATTATAATATAAATAATTATAAATATAAACATTAATTATAAATCGTATATATATATATATATATATATATATATATATATATATATATATATATATGAATGGTAGATATGGTATATATATATATATATATATATATATAATTGTATATTTCTAGTATTTGCACATTAATATAATTGCACTTAATTACATTATTAATTTCTAGTATATAAAAATAATTTGCAAAGATCATTTGTTATAAATATTTTATCTAAATCTATAATCCTATAAATTATATATAGTCAGTCGAGTTTTTAACTCTACATAAGAAGAATAATTATAAGATTTATATATAAATAAATAAATATATATATATATATATATATATATATATATTTATTAATGTAATACATATTATGTATATACATAAATATGTATTCATGATGTTTAAGAAATTTAATAGCATGAGCTATTAAATCGTATTGTAAGTTGTCTGAAAGTGTTGCAGATGGTTTAAAAGTGTTGTAGATGGTTTAAAAGTGTTGTAGATGGTTTAAAAGTGTTGTAGATTGTCTGACGTTGTTAAAGATTGTCTGACAGTGTTATAGATTATCTGACAGTGTCGTAGATTGTCTGACAGTGTCATAGATTTTCTGACATTGTTATATATTGTCTGACAGCGTTATAGATTGTCCATGACTATTAAAAATGTCCAGAGAGTGTTTTAAATTGTCTGAGATTGTTGTAGATTGTCCGAGAGAGTTGTACATGGTATAGGAGTGTTGTTGATTGTCTGAAAGTGTTGCAGGTTGTCTGAGGGTGTTGTAGATTGTCTGAGTGTTTTTCAGATTATATGACATTGTTGTAGGATGTACAAGATGGTTGTAGATGGTCTGGAAATGTTGTAGATTGTCTGAGGGTGTCCAGGAGTGTTGTAGCTTATCTAAGAGGGTTGTAGATGAACTGGGGGTGTTGAAAAAATAAAACTACAAAAACATTGCTTAAAAATCCGTGGAGAGATATCTTTGAATATTTGATAAAAATAAAATGGCAAAAACTTTGTTTAAAAATCCGTGGATAGATATCTAATATTTAAGAGTGTTGTATATGGTGTGGGAGTGTTGTAAATTGTCCGAGAGTGTTGTAGATTGTCTGACAGAGTTGTATGTTGTCCAGTAATGTTGTAGATGTTCTGACAGTGTTCTAAGATGTGCAAGTTTTAAATTTTAAGAGCATTGTAGCTTATCCGAGAGTAATGTAGATAGCCTGGGAGTGTTGTACATTGTCTAAAAGTGCTGTAAATTGTCTGAGAGTGTTGTTGGTTGTCCAAGAGTGTTGTAGATGGTCTGGGTGTGTTGTTGATTGTCTGAGGGTGTTGTAGATAGTCTGAGAGTATTGCACATTGTCTAAAAGTGCTGTAAATTATCTGAGAGTGTCATAGGTTGTCCAAGACTGTTGTAGATGGTCTGGGAGTGCTGTAAAATGTGTAAGAATGTTGTAGATTGTCCAAGAGTGTTGTAGCTTGTCCAAGAATATTGTATTTTGTCTGAGAGTGTTGTAGATGATCTGGGAGTGTTATAGATTGATTGAGGGTATTGCAGGTTGATTGAGAGTGTTGTAAATAGTATAAAATTAATTGTAGATTGTCTGAGAGTATTGTAGATTGTATGAGATTGTTGTAGATTGTCTAAAAGTAATTGTAGATTTTGTGAGAGTGTTGTAGATTGTATGAGAGTGTTGTATGTGGTCTGGGTAGGTGTAGATTGTCTGAGAGTGTTGTAATTTGTCTGAAAGTGTAGTAATTTGTCCAAGGGTGTTGTAGGTTGCCCAAGAGTGTTGTAGAATGTCAGAGTATTATAGATTGTCTGACAGTGTTGTATGTTATCCAAGAGGGTTGTAGTTTGTCTGGGAGTGTTGTAGTTTGTCCAAGAGTGTTGTAAGATGGTCTGGGAGTGTTATAGATCAATCTAGAGTATTTCAGGTTGATTGAGAGTCTTGTAAATAGTCTAAAAGTAATTGTAGATTGTCTGAGAGTGTTGTAGATTGTATAAAAGTGTTGTAGATAGTCTGGAAGTGTTGTAGATTGTTTGGTAGTGCTATAGATTGTCTACGGGTGTTGTACGTGGTCTGGGTATGTTGTAGATTGTCTGAGAGTGTTGTAATTTATCTGAGAAACTTTGTAATTTGTTTGAAACTGTTATAGATTATCTGAGAGTATTGTAGATCATCTTGTAGTGCTGTAGATTGTCTCAGAGTGTTGTAGGTTGTACAAAAGTGCTGAAGGTGGTCTTAAGTGTGTTGTAGATTGTCTAAGAGTGTAGTAATTTTCCCAAGGATGTTGTAGGTCGTCCAAGAATGTTGTAGGTGGTCTGGGTATGTTGTAGATTGCCTGAGAGTGTGTAATTTATCTGACAGTCTTGTAATTTGTTTAAAAGTGTTATAGATTATCTGGGAATGTTGGAAATTGTATGAGAGTATTGCACATTGTAATTGCAGAATGTTGTAGATTTTCTGAGAATGTTGTGGGTCGTTTGAAAGTGTTGTAGACTGTGTGAGAGTTTTTCAAATTATATGAGAGTGTTGTACAAAATAGCCTAAAAGTAATGGTAGATTGTCTAAGAGTATTGTAATTTGTCTGAGAGTGTTGTACATTGTCCAAGAGTGTTGTAGTTAATCTAGGAGTGTTATAGAGCTAGAGTATTGCAGGTTGATTGAGAGTGTTTTAAATAGTCTTAAAAGTAATTGTAGATTGTCTGAGAGTGTTGTAGATTGTATAAAAGTATTGTAGATAGTCTGAAAGTGTTGTAGATTGTTTGGTAGTGCTGTAAATTGTCTGCGAGTGCTTGGAGGTTATCCAAGAGTAATGTAGATGGTCTGAGAGTGTTGTAGTTTGTATGGGATTGTTGTAGTTTGTCTCGAGGTGTTGTAGTTTGTCTGGGAGTGTTATAGATGGTTGAAATATTTTGTACGTTGTCTGAAAATGGCGCTGTTTGTCTACAAATACACCTTTTACAATACAAATATTGCACCTTTTGCAAAAAAATATCATAGAAGTAGTCAGCAACCAATTGCTATCTTACTTATCATATTACCATCATCCCACTTTAAATTTTATAGATTTGGATACTTCTCCAGTATGATCAGTTATACAGATGTCCACTAGGTACTTAAATACTTGCTGCTAAATCCAAAAGGCTCGATGTTATCATACAGAACCATTAGTATAAGATTCTTAAAATCCAAAATGTGTTTCTTAACATTATTCGTCCCTTCATTGCATCTCTAGTAAATATTTATATATAAATTCACACACTGCTTATAGTATGTGCTGATGCAGAACCCTCTTGGCTAAATTGTGCGTCCTTTTTGAAGGCCTTTTGGAGTCAACTTTGCTGTATAGGTCTGTTACTGAATTCTGCTGATCGGGCACAACTAGAAAACAAATATATTTGTATATATATATATATATATATATATATATATATATGATTTAGTTATTAATTTTGATGTTGAGATATATGAGTAAGTTCTTGTGGGGCGATACATCAAAAAATAAAAAGCAAAGATTTATAAATTAATCTTTAATTCCAAACGTTTCGACATTCAATTTAATGTCATCATCAGTGGAACTAAAAACAGTATAAAAAATTAATCAATAACTTTTTATACTGTTTTTAGATCCACTGATGATGACATTAAATTGAATGTCGAAACGTTTGGAATTAAAGATTAATTTATAAATCTTTGCTTTTTATTTTTTGATGTATCACCCCACAAGAACTTACTCATAAATATATATATATATATATATATATATATATATATATATATAATATATATATATATTTAATTGTTTATTTATATATTCATCTGTTACCTGGACTTTGTACGGTTTGTAAACTCCTGGCTCGATGAAGAGATAATCTTAAAGGCTTTTTTGGAGGTGTCGGTCTTAGACTATTTGCTGAACATCTATATTAAAAATAATAAATAATAATAATAATAATATATATATATATATATATATATTAATTGAAAAAAAAGCCCATCTTGGGCACAGCGGTGTGAAATGGAAATGGGAAAATTCTCACACTACTTCTTCCCTGAATCGAGTTTGAGTTTAGCTCAGCTCATAGACCTGCCTTAGGGCAGTACTACCCATTATATTTTATATATATATATATATATATATATATATATATATATCCTTACCTCTCAAATTCCAAACTCTTGGAGCTCCTCTCGTCCCACCGGTGGTCCATCGAAGTCGCCTCGGCTCCATTGCTCAAGACTTCGGCTCTTTCCGCCTTATCAAATCTCATATCAATAATCTTCCGATTATCGATCGAATTGATGGGAATGGAAATCGGTTCATCAGCGCTCCTGGCGGATGAATAATGAAACAACTGTTTCGTCCTGGAACGGCGCTTCACTTCTGGTCGCTCTGGACGAACCTGGGTAAAGGATAGATGTTTATTATATCTCTTGTAACTTTTGAACCATTTGATTAATATGAATGTTGCTTTCGGGAGATTTGTGTAAAATTAAATTATCTACAATATTGTCTAACAAAATTATTAGCTGCAGCAACTCGGTATACCTTAAAATCTCAAATCAAAATAGTTATTATATGAACACCCATGTTGATGCATCTATTTATTACATCTCTTGTAACCTCTAAACCATTTGATTAATATTAATGATGCATTTACGATTTTTTTACAATATTACCGGAGGCGTCCTAGGATTCGTCATCCTGCTCCCATCATACTGCATATCTGCCCCCAATTTGACACCATTCTCACAAACATCACCATTAACAACTTCACCATTCATCTGGTCACCATTAACATCAGTTTTATTCAAACTCTGGCTTGAATTCATCAGACTTTCGTTCTTGAGGCGGTTAATACGTTCCTCCTGACTCAAAATTGAGTTTCTCGCGCGTAGTTCTTTGTGAAAGTGTTATTTTTGTCCACAGAATTCGAGGAGCACCTTGACTCACTTCTAGACTCTGAATTTATGGATCTGCTGTCCATGGTGGATTTTCTCCAATCAGGAGGAAAAGTCTAAAAACATAAGATATTTAGTGAATTTCTAAATTTTTGTTTGTATCTATTTCCCTACCTCGTCCATTGGGTGATGTTGTTTAACAATTTTTCCTCTCAGCAAAGTTGCAACTTGTGAACCCCTTCGGAAGACTTCTACAGTTTCAGGAACTTCAAAACCATTAGACAATGGTTTTGGAGTGAAGTCCATGTTTGGTTTTGCTGGTTCATTATTGGCAGGTGTAATTAAGGATCTTTGGTAAGTTGGTTTTGGATCATTGGTTGGCATTGGATTGATGTTTTTGTAATTAGGATAATTAGTGGGATCATTAGAAATTGGACTAACTTGTTGATTGGTTTGGACAAAATTGATACCATGAGGATCTATTGAACTTGGTTCAATAAAAGTGTTGTTAAAATTAGATTTGTTATAATTTATATCATCTCCAGGTTTGTTTCCAATGATAAGTTCTACAGTTTCCACATCTCCTCCTGGATTTACATCCTGGTTACTCTTTTCTGTTACAATTTCATTATTTGGTGGTCCTGGATTATTCTTTGGTTCTTTTAAATTTGGTTTACGATCCAAGGAATTTGCAGGATTCAAACTGTCTGTTACATTTATTGATGTTATGTGCTGATCTTTGGTTTGGAGTTCACGTACCTGGAAAAAAAATAACAATAACCAGGTGTATGTGGCATTTAGCCTTAAGGCAAGAATTGATAATAAGCTATTTCAACTGTAAAAATAGTTGTAGAGTTTTTTTCTCCTTACCTGTTCTTCCAAATAGCAAATCCGATGGGTCAACCTCAAATTATCAGCTTTGAGTCTTCTATTAGCACTATTTGAAGAACTAGTCAGTGTGGTACTATAATTACTGTCCAAATTTTGACTGTGACTCCTTCTCGGTCTTAATACTACAATTTCTGCTGGATCATAAGACACTGCCAGAAGTCTTGAGAGTTCATCCAAAGTTGAGGATTGGGAGAGATTTCTGGATGCTCCTAAGATTTTACCATTGACTTCTAATAATCTAAAATAGGAAAAGAAATTAAGATACTGCACACACACATATAAATATTTTTTTCCAGTGTATTTGCAAAATAGACCAAAAGTAATCATTCTTATCAATCAATATTTTTTACCTATCTCCTTTCCTCAAAGGTTCTCCTTCAGCAGCCCAATCAATATACAATCCGAAATTGGTCCCATCTTTATTATTATTGTTATTATTATTAAAAGTAACGCCCCATCTTGGTCTCGAAGGATCACAGGACACAGTAACTGCCACCAAAGATAATTGGACGCCAGTTTTTAGCCAACTAGAATGGAAACAGTAAATTAATTTGTCCTGGTGCAAAAATTATATAGATACGTACCTGAATATCGTTTTTTTCTGCTCTGGAGACCCTTGAGCTTGTTCAATACGTCCCTGGAGAGACCTCAATTCCTCGGAAATGGATAGCAAGTCTAATTCTTCTCTGCCAAGGGCGTATTCTAACTCTGCTTGTTTGATCCGGACATCAATGTTGCTAAAATGGTAAAAAAAGATGTTACTTTAATGGAACAGTTTGTAACGTTGCTATAAGTTGGTGTACTTCCAACAAATGTATCTATTTTAATAATTTCAATTCCTTCTTACTCTGTAACATCCAATTTCCTCAAAGCCTTCTTCAGTTCCCCAATTGCGTCTTTTTTCCTATCAGCCTCCAATTTCAAAGTGGCCAACCGTCTTTTGGCGATCACTCTTTCAGCATCACTCATCTGCAAATTGGATCTCTGCTGATTCAGCAGATTTATTGAGTCGTTCTTATGCTGCTTCTTGTGATTTCCTGAAGAATGTAAAGACGAGGTTGGGGGATAGTGGACTCCTAATTGGGCTCTTAGACTGGAATAGAAAAAATGATGTAAATATTGATGGCACGGGCAAAATGATGGTGGTTTAATTGGGTAAAAGTTTTCTAAGGAAAGTCAGATAGCAATAATATTGATAAAAAACATGTCCTAATTCTAAAAATTAATCATAACATTTTGGCAACAGTAAACCAAAAATCATCTAAGACCAATTCATAGATAATTCAACAATCTAAAACTTATCTAACCCCACTTTCTACCTACAACTCCTATTTTTCCCTAACCTAACCAAAATAATCTTCTTCTTTACTCACTTATGTATCACAGCATCCCTATCTTGCAGAGCGTTTCTCAACCTTCTAATTCACTGGTGCTTTTGGAACCTGTGGAATACAATCTGGGTGCAGAACCTCCATGGGAATTTGTTAAGGAACCTCCTGTAGTCGAACCTGGTACCAGATTCTGGGAACCTCCACAAAGAGACCCACTGAGAGAACCTCCAGCATGGCGCCTTCGAGGGGATTTTGAGGAGCTCACCAGGGAGGAAAGGTCCATCTGGGGAAAAGATAAACAGATAGATAGATAAATGAATATATGCATAGTTAGATAAATTAATATTAAAGATAATATTGTTTGTAATGTATCAAATTAATAAACAAATAAATCATGTACAAATGAATACATAAAATATACTGCATTTTAGTAAATTTACAACTATCTACTATAATTACAGTAGCCTGAAGAGCTTGTTAGAATGGGAGCTTAGAAAATATTATACTAGCTGACCCGGCAAACGTGTACTCATAAAAAAAATCTCTAGAAGATGTTTACTAGAAAATTTGCTGATTTTTGTGAATATAGAAGTGTGTGGTATATAAGAAAAAGGAAAAGCTAACATAACATGTATGAATGATTTACCCATTGCAAAGCAAGCCACATATAAATGTTTCTGTATATTAATAGTCATTGCAAGTGCCAAATTAATCTGAAACCTATTTCATTTAAATTGATTTGACACAATTAGATATTCAAGGTATTTGGTATAATAGTTTCTTCCTGCTTACGGTAGGAATCTCATCGGCCCAAGCGACCCGGGCGCCATACACCCGGGTCGCTTATGCTGAATGTCGATTTCGAAGAAACCAGGACAATAGTTAGTGGAATTAAAGTAATTGGAGTTTGGAACTGTGTGTGATAAATTTGGGACTTAAATAAAAATCACCCAACGGATACTTAAAGGATTTTTTACCTTCAGAAGAATCTCATACCAATTGCCTGTTAAACAACTATATATCATTATTATCATAAGCATTTTTTCTTGAAGTTTCATTTAGATAGATAATACTAATATCATAAATATATGATTTTCGACACTTAATATATATATATATATATATATATATATATATACTAGCTGACCCGGCAAACGTTTAGCCATAAAAAATATTTCTAGAAGATAAGATGTTTACTATAAAACTTACTGATTTCAAACGTAGAAATGTATAAAAAGGAAGCTAATACAAAATATATGAATAGTTTACCCACTGCAAAGCATACCACATATAAATGTGTCTGTATATTAATAGTAATTGCAAGTGCCAACTTAATTTTAAATTGATTTTATTGGCACATTTAGATATTCAAGGTTTTGATATATTATTCAGTAATCACCGGGGGACCCCGAGCGGCGGTAGCAATCTGAAATCCACATAGATTCTATATGCATGTCACATCGCTGAAGGCAAGCTTGTGGATTTCAGGTTGCTACCGCCGCTCAAATCACACGGTGTTTACCAAGCTTTTTACGAATTCATTAATTTCTAAATTACAAATCAAATCATTGATTTTTGAATTATATTAGACTAAAATTTCAAAAACTTTGTGGAAAAATTTACGTGCACCTTGTTTTAGATAAAAAACTGTTGCATCTTCAGATTTCAAAATTCAATCTACACTTGTTTTGCTAAAATTTTTATTTTTGCATACCTATCATAAAATATATAAAGATGTACTATTTGTGCGCATCGGGAAATATTTGTGCAATGGGATAATAGGGGTGGACAACCCTAGATAATTTTTTTTTTTTTTGAGTAAAATTAATACTCAAGAGAATCTTGAATTGAAATTTAGTAAAAAAAACATTCATTGACTGAAAAGTTGGTGCAAAATGATTACTAAAATGACTAATAGAAAATAGAGATTTATATTAGGGGGTTAAAAATTTAGTATTTTTCAATTCAGCATTATAAAATTTAAAGGATACAAGAAAATTTATTCCATAATTTAAAAAAAAGTTAGGGGTGGCCAACGCTTAAATCAATTAAAACATATAAATAGTTAGAAGTAAAAAGAGTTCAATGTATTATTCAATTTAGAATTATAGAAAATTAAAATAAATAAAATTGGTCCCAAAATTTAAAAAAATATATTGAGGGTGGACAACCCTCGATAAAAATAAATAGTAAAAAGAAAAGATTGAAGTAAAAAGAATTGAAGTATTTTGAAGAAAGATTTGAAGAAGAAAGAAAAGAAAGTTGGTCCCAAAATTTTGAAAAAGTGGCAGTAATTGAACAACCCTTAATAAATATAAATATAAATTTCCATAAACTCAAGATAATCTGAACTAGAATTAAGTTAGATTTAAGTGAAATATATTTAGATTACTAAAGGATTTTTACTAAATATAGGAGTTTGTGGTAGGAGGGTGAAAATTCAGGATACTCAACAAATATCTACTAAAATGCATAAAAATCAATCTATTATTACCTTCGGTGCAATATTTTCGATTTGTGTCATCTTGGAGCTTTTTGAAAAAACCTGAAATAAGAAAAAATGAAACAAAATTAATATAAATCATTTATTTTGTGAAAAAAAATTATCCTAGCAAACGTTCGCATGGAAACATTTGAATACAGGTAAAGAATTTTCCTGGATTCAATTTTGCGAATTGAAGTAGTAAAAAAAATTTCGAATTGTTTATAAATAAACATATAAATTTGTTTAAACGAATAGTTAAAGT